GGGGGGCAGCAGGATCAGGTTCCTCTAGGCTTTTGTCTTGTTTTTGTTGTTTTGTTTTTGGTCTGGATGCCAGGTAGAATTATAACACCACTAATCTGAACTTTTTCTGTTCCCAAGCTGATAACACTTTTCAGGGAAGGGGCCTGAGTCTGCCAATTCCTCCCCATCTACAGTCTCCTGCTCTGATCTACGGGGTCGGAGAAAGAAAAAGACAAATGCTTTCCACTTAATGGTTACGTGCTCCCACTTAATGGTTACATGTGCGATGAGAAAGGACTCCAGGGGACATTTTCCCACCGTAGCACATCTCATACTAAAAGGGACAAGCATTTTAGTAAAATAAAGATTTCTGTTTATTGGCAGGGTGCACTGAGTTTCCTATCACCCACTTACACACTCAGTACCCGACTTCCCATCTGAGAAGCGCCCCAAGACCTCCCAGCACCCCAGCTAGTTCTACAAGGGCAAAGAGTGACCACTTAACACAGCTGGGAGCTGCCACAGCATCCCTCAGACGGAGTCCCAATCCCCGGCTCATCCTGGAAACCGAGCTGTTGACGTGTTTGAAAGAAGTTGGGCCTATTGACTGAGTGAATATCTGCTTCAGAGTTTTCTCATAATGGAAGAAGAATGTCTTCCGAAGTGGGAAGACGCGAGGCTGGTCCCTCGCCCCAGTGTTTTCTTCAGGGAGACCCCTTTGAGAGGATGGCGAGCCCTGCTGCTAAACTGGGGGAAGGAGAGCAAGGACAGGACTGGAGGAGCCATGCAGCTCCGGTTTTACTTGGAAAAAATGCACACTTGTGTGGGTTGGGGGTAGTTACAGGCTGACATCAGCCAGTTCCTGCCTATGGCTGTTTCTTGCAGCTTGAAAAACCTGTTTGAACAGCCCTGGTCATGGCTGCATTACAAAACCTGGTCATTCAAGAAAGGAGTTCAAAGAAGAGGCAGTTTCCCACACAACCAGCGAGGCCTCCGTGTTCTCATTCTGCGCTCTGCTCCCAGGCATGGCCGTGCTGACCAGCCACATCCTGCCAGTCCCTTTATTTGCTTCTGCACACCTGGAAGGAGCAAGCCAGAGTCCCAAGGCCCTCACTGCTAGGTTCTAGAAGCGTTCCTGAGATTCTCCGATAAGCCTCTCGTGTCGCATGCCGTGACTGGGATCTTCCAGCAGGGATTCTCCTCGTGGAGTCCGAAGCGTACCTCCACCTCATTCAGGCCCTAAGTGGAGGGTTTTAGGATCGTCTGACCCAGGTCCCTGCCCAACTGCAAGTGTCTGTACTTTGGGTTCTGGCAAGAATACACGTGGCTGGGATTAGACAGATTCTTTATGTGGTATCATTTGTCCAAAGCAGTGCTACTCCCTTCATGAAAAACAGAGAAGGGTTTTGGGTGGGGAAGGATCTGGAGTGGGGGGGAGCTGTGAACATTAACATCTGAGAACAGGTGGGGTGGGTAAGGCACAGGTAGGAAATGAGGGAGAGCCAAGACTTAGAGGAACAGCATGTGGCCAGGAGGGGAAAGAGCAGCAATCTGGCCAGGACTCCATGCTGGTTACAGAGGCCCGCGAACATCCGGTGACTCTGGGTTACTCTGCCCACATCCATGGAGGTAAGAACAGTTAAGAAACCAGGCAAAGGGTCTGGCTTGGCATCCAGGCCTCAGGAGCAGTCCTGCCCGGTGCTCTCAGCTAGACCTGCTGTCATGCTCTGCTGGGACCCTGCCCAGAGGCCACAAGCAGGGCTTGTCTAGGGGAGCCCTTTAGAGGGCTGTTCCAGGGACAATGAGGAGCCCCACCCTTACAGTCCCAGAAGAGATGGTGTCCTCCTGCTGCCTCTCAAACTCAGGTAGCTTCTAATGGGAAGAATCTAGAGCTGAGGCTTACCCTCTGAGCTTGGGAACCACCTCAGAAAACTTGCCCCCCTGAATAAGAACAATTTTTTCTGTGTAACTAGCTTCTCGGCAGAAGAAAGGCCTGTGTGCACTGTTTGCATCCACAGGGATGGCAGAGGAAGTCGAGGGGAAGTCAGCCTCCATGCTCGGACCCTCACCTGGCTTGCTTTAAACTCAACAGAAAAAACTAACCTGAGGCAATTAGATCCCTCCCACGGTTTCAGAAGTTTTAGCCCAACTGTCTGTACAGAAAGGCTATTGTTTACAGGATTTTAGGGTCTCTAATAGCACTACAAATATTCTCGGTTGGATTAGCACAAACCTCCAGCTGCCAGGCTGCCTGGGTGGTAGTTCTGGGTGTGTTGGCATCCCAGGCGGTGGGAGTAGCCTTGGTGGGGGGTGAGGTCACAGACCTTCGTGGTCTCCCTGTTGGACCCAGCATAGGCTACATGTGCCAGTGAAGAGGCCACAGTGACGGGGGAAATAATGCGCAGCTCGGAGCGAACCTCCCCTGCGGCCACATCACAGTGGAAAAGCCCATGCAGACTCACTCCCCAGGCCAATCAGCTGCCTGGAACGTACTTTAGAGCAACCCGCATGTGGAACTGCCACTCCCCATGGTTTCCAGCCCCCACCCCACCAACCAAAGATAATTACCAAATTCAACTCACTTATCATCTTTCTCATAAATGTTCAGTCCAAGGGCATCCACGCCGAGCCAAAGGTCTGTTCCTTTCTTATTTTTTATCTCAAAATAGTTGATTCCATACATTTCCAGGTCTTGGGCAATCTTCAAATACTCCAGCATGGCACTGTCTCTAGTTGGGAAGAGCAAACATGGACGTCACGCGAGTGCGTGTGATGTCTGAGTGGCCTCGGAAACGCACGGCAGGTTCCGTGGGGCGGCCGACAGCCGTGCGCTCCAGGTGCCGGCCATGCCTGTGCCCGGGCTGCCCCGACGCTTGACACACTGAAAGAACTGAACTGACTCACGCTGGATTCTCTGGACACAGATTTTCCGTTTCCGTTTCATTGCCAGGCACAACCTTGCTTTCCCTTCTGCCCACACAGGGGCTTCCCTTGTCCGCCTCACTAGCAGCCACGCTTAGGTTTCGAGCTATTTCCCTCCACAAAAGCAGCTTGGCTCAGACAGGAATCTCTAAGGACACATGTCTCTGAAGCCCAAACTGCAAACTACCTTCTAAGGCTGGGGTGATGCACAGAATTGCAACCCATGCCCGAGAAGAGAATTCTGGAGCAACAGAGACTCTGGCCATTTCTTATACTTAACAGCAAGTGTTTTTCACTTGGGATCAATTTTTTCCATTTACACACACTTTTGAAAGCAGTCACCTTACAAACAGCGAAGAAACTCACCCCTGTGACAGAGGAAAGAGAACTCTGGTGGCTTGTGAACAGTACCCCTGGCCCCTAGACTAAAAGCACATTTTAGACACCCGAGGGAGAGGGTTTAGGGCCTAAAAGGCTTCAGTTAAACTGCTTCTCGCCCCAGGCAAGAACACCTGGCTCTGTTTAAGGAAAACCTCACTTGTAGCTTGGCTGATTAACTTCCCCTGGTCTGCCAGACACTGGGCCTGGCCTCCCTGGAGTCACATGCAACACAGACAGGGGGGGGAAGGAGG